GTTTCTACAATAAGCAGACTAATTAGCCATTAGAGGCTATTCTACCTAAAAGTACAATATAGGTCCTGAAGACCAGATTCTGCCTAACCTGACCCTTGCATGGGTGCACAGCGTGTACACAGGTAGTGATGACAGCATAAGAAGTCTTAAGTTTAAAGGTTAACAAAATAAAGATACTGTGCAAGATCTTCAACTAGCGTAGATCAGTGATTTACATCAGCTGAAGATCTGGCCTTTTGTCTTGCTTCAAAAGACTGTAAAACAAAATGTGATGTCATTGATTTTTTTTCTCTATGTTTTAGAGCAGTGGTTCTCAAACTGTGGGTCAGGACCTCAAAGTGGGTCGCAACCCCATTTTAATGGTGTTGCCAGGGCTAGCGTTAGATTTGCAGGGTCCCAGGACCGAAGCCTGAGCCCAAGCCCAGTAGCTTCAGCCCTGGGTGTCGGGGCTCAGGTTACAGGCCCTCCACCTTGGGCTGAAGCCCTTGAGCTTTGGCCTTCCCACCTGAGACAGCGGGGCTCGAGCAGGCTCAGACTTTGGGAGTCATATAGTAAATTTTGTTGTCAGAAGGGGGTCGCGGTGCAAAATACAAGAGAAATACTTTCAATACTGGAAATTCTATTGAAAGAAGTTTGATTTTCTCTCAAAAGATAACTAAATGAACAAATTTATTAATGGGTTAAAGGTTGTAGTGGGCAAAAATAATTTGTTTGCAAACATCATTGTACTTCTGAAACTGATGACATCTTTCACCAAACCTCCCTCACCAAACAAATATGGAAATACTATGGCAGAAGGGGTAGCAGAGTATTCTTCCTAAATGAATAAACTTAACTGAATTTTGTCTTTTCATCCCACAATACATTTTCTATCTACAGTTCTCAAAACATAAAGACAACTGTTTCCTCATTTGATGCTACCTTACTTCTACTTCAGTCAGTGAATTGGTCATGATCTTTCTAGTTTAACTTCAGTATTAGATTAATCAATTAACTTTTTAATTGCCATTTCTTTATTGCCTACTAGAGCGTCCCAGCTTAAGCATTTGTGACTTCTATTTGCTTGCTAGTTTAAATGATTTCATCTTTCTATACTGATGTTGAGACTTTTGTCATCTCATTCCAGGGTTCTGAAAAATTCCTTTACTGTGTTTTGTGACCATGTCTGTTACTGTGTGCATGGAAGAATAATATACAATTGGTGCTGATGTGCCATTGTTGTAATGAAGGTCTTTTCAATGCCCTACTTTTCCAGGTATCTTATAATAGAATTTCTCCACCTCTGTCAAACTATTTTTCCATAGCAGAAATTCCAGCATAATGGTAAGTTGTACAGTTGTCTGACATCTCAATGACATGATTAGTTTCTTCATACAAAGGTCTTCTATTGCACTGCACTCTGTACAACTTGCTTGTGGCTGAGCTTCACTGGATGGTATACAGCCCATCTCTAGGTGAAAATCATGCCAAACCAACCAAATTTCCTTCTCTGACAGGGTTACTGGTCTAGTAGACATGAGGAAGCAGAAGTGATTTACGTAGATTTTATTAATGCTTTTGACATTCTCATAAGCAAAATAGGGATATGTGGTCTAGAAGAAACTACTATAAAATGGATGCACAAACTGCTTGAAAAAACACACACAAAAAATAGTTATCAGTGGTTCACTGTCAAACTGGAAGGACATATCAAGTGGTGCCACACAAGGATCTGTCAGGGTCCAATACTATATTTTCATTAACTTGGATAATGTGGTGGACAGTATGCCTATAAAATTTGCAGATGACACCAAGCTGGGAGGTTGTTGCAAGCACTTTGGAGGACAGGATTAGAATTCAAAAGGACCTGGAAAAATTGGAGAATTGGTCTGAAATTGACAAGATGAAATAGCAGTAGCGACACGTGCAAAATATTACACTTAGAAAAAAAAATTAAATGCACAACTACAAAATGGGGAATAACCAGCTAGGCCGTAGCACTGCTGAAAAGGATCTGGGGATTAGAGTGGATAACATATTGAATATGAGCCAACAATGTGATGCAGGTGCTAAAAAGGCTAATATCATTCTGGGATGTATTAACAGAAGTGTTGTATATAAGACCCGGGAAGTAACTGTCCTGCCCTAATGGTGAGGCCTCAGCTAGAGTACTGGGTCCAGTTTTGGGAACCATACTTTAAGAAAGATATGGGCAAACTGAAGAGCATCTAATGAAAAGAGTTAAGTGCTAGAATAGGGTAGGTATATTTGGTCTCACCACTGAGCAGAGGGCTGGGCCAAATGACCTCTGGCAGACCCTTCCAGCTCTTCATTTCTATGATTCTGTGTTGAGATCCATATTGTCGAAGTATCAGTAAAACCATTTTTCCACATTTCAATGGGGGAGGGGTTGTGTTGTTTTGTTTTTGCCTGGTCTGCCAGATAAATAGCTTTGCAGGCATTTAAACAATTAGCACAGAGAAACTGATTTGTTCCCAGTCACGCAGGAAGTCTGTGGCAGAGCGAGTCCTGGGCTGGCGCCCTAACGATTGGACCATCTTCCTCCCACGTATGTGAACTGTGACTATAATTAACCAGTTTACTCTGACAGAAATTTTTTCAGATTGTGTGCCTATTATTTCCATGGCGACCTAAATGTGCAGAATGCTTTATAAAATAAATAAGATGACAAAATTCCTGCCTCAAAGAAATGACCTTTTAATCAAACCAAAACCAAATAATTCTGGTGCAAAGTGACCTGGAGACAACTTTGGTGAGAAGATCTGTGCAGGAAGAATTTGCAGAAGTGGCCAGATATGAAAGAGCAAACGTCTCTTGGGAAACAGGAGATAGGAAACTGTTCATAGGGCTAGTAGAAAAGAAAATGTGAAACCAAGAGGATGAAAAAGACATAAGGAAGCAATAAAGATTAGGAAGAGCATAAGAAGAGAGTAAGGAGGAAAAATCAAAGCAAGTGAGATAGGCAGGAGAAAGTTTTTGCTGTACCACGAAAGGCAAGAGAAGGCAATAAGCTGTCAAGGCATTCAACATGGGAGGAAAGCAATTCTTTGTACTCTCTGTAACTGCAACCAATTCACTATTATCACAAGTGCCTAGGGATTTTAGGAAAGATGATTTCTTAGCATATGTTCAAAACTGAATAACATTTTACTTTTAAAGCAGAGCTGATTAGAAAATGGGTAGAAAAACTTGCATGAATGTTTTGTGAATCCCCCCCTCCAATACACACACACAAAACTTTAATTTATATTTCATTTTATTTCATTAAAAATGCTCTGACTAGATCTAAATAGAAATATGCAAGTGGACGATATTTAGATCCTCCAAGTCTCCTCTTCTGGGGCTTCATCCAAAGCCTACTGAGGTCAATTGAAAGCTCTCACTAACTGCAATGGGTTGGTTGGATCAAACCCTTCACGCAGAAGCAAATCCCAGCGGCTTGTTGTTTTCAAAACCTATTGATCAATTTACATTTTCAAGGCAACTTCTGCATAAAAGGGGATTTGAAATTTACATTTTTCCATGAAAGCTGATATAATACTAGAATATTAGTTTCCCCAAATTGTGGGACAGGTATGAATGCAGATTGTGCAGCATGCAAAGGCAGGTTCCAGATAGATGCCTTTGAAATTCGATTGGCCACATCCATTCCACCATTACATGTTTCCCTCCAGTCTTCAGTAGACTTAGTCTTCTAGTCATATTTCAACATCCAATGTTCATTGATTAACCCTCAACCTACTAATTAAATTCCAACTCGTCCTCATACTTCATTTCTAACCTCTTTTGAGTGAGTCCTTCCTAAAACTTCTGAATTTAAACCAGAAAAGGGACAATCATTCTTTCCTAAGAAAGGTATTATCAAAACTTGCAGGATATATGATTAAGAAGGTATGATGGTTACTTTGCTTATATTCCATTCATCCCTCACTTATAAGCTCCAGATCCTTGACTGGTGGTAATCTCCCAACCAGATAAAGACACAAATATAAAGTGTGAGCTAACTATTCCTTTAAATCCTGAACCATCTTCCTTCTGTCTTTACAGAATCTCGTGCTATTAATTTCAGACCGTTTCTCCAATTTATCAAAATCTACTGTGCAGATATTTCTAAGTATCTATTGTGGTGACACTATCAATGCTTGGTTGACTCAATATGGATATAAGAAAGAAATCAAAGAAAGGTGTTCTCTGTCATCAGAAACACTTCTTCTGTTAACTGTGTCTACATAAGCTCGTTTTATGCAAATAAAAAATGGTCTCAATAGAATAGATACATCTAAATTATAGCGAAATACTAAAAAACGGTTACAAATAAAAGTATTATCTCCATCTAAGCAGAGTACCTAATTAATACACTTGCTATTAATGCTATCAAGTATGGACATAACCCTTTAGATACAGTGGACCTAAGTTTACCTTTGGGAATAATTCATAATAAGAAATTAGAGCTTCAGTGTTTGCATAATCAGCAGGTTTACCCCATTGTCGATTACTAGCATGTGCAAATCAATTGTCTTACAAAGCAAAATGCATAGTAATTTTATAAAGCAATAAAAAATGTTGAGCTATAAACTACTATGGCAACATTATTCATAAAGGGTCCAATATTAAAAGTAGATATCAAAATGTTTTTGTTTATTTACATATCTTTTATGAGACAAATTTTTGTCTCATTAAGATTAACTGTAAAGCTTCGTTGAGAAATGTACCTTATTTTCAACCCTAAACAACACAAAAAGAGAACTGCATAAAAAAACTCAAATACATTATATTTCATATAATAAAAAGAATGTGAAATCTATTAAAGGAACTACTATGGGTAAAATGCTTCGAAACTACTATTGCATATTCTTGTCACAAATGCATTCTAATTACCAATCCATCAGCTGAAGACTTGCTCACTGATATCATTAGCATCTGCCTTTCCATAGCTGAGTAGGAGAGCTTTTTTATTATTATTCTAACATTAAAAAAAAGTTCAATCTCATGTTTCCAACCTGGTCTCCGAAGTCCTCCGGGAACTTCCACAGTACCACCGGATCTGTAAATAATTGACAGACAGCATTAATCAGAGGCAAAGGAACAGAGTATTACAGTCAGAGTACATTAATATTAAAGAGAGGGTCAGCATAGCTTCAAGCTCTCTGGCAAGTGCAAAAATGTATCTCAAAACTGAGGAAGATACTGGATTATTAAAAATATTCTTTTATTTCATATTTATGAAACTGCAAGTGTATTTTTACGTAACAATAGTAGGTTACGATGTATTGCGATATTTTCCGATTTAAATATTCTTTTTAACCTTTGAGTACTTCAACCTTTTTTTAAGGAGTAAATCCAATATTCAAAATTCTATTTCAGTTACGGCATCAAGAGAAAAGAGCCTTTTTTCCAGCCACTGCAGGTAAGATGGCAAGATGATAACTGATTAAATGGGGAAATAACTAAAATCTACCTACAACGCATAAGTTATTTGTAAACACACTATACATGAATACAAAAATGGCCATTATTTTCAGAGATTCTTGTTTATCCATTTTCCTTTCAGACTCATATAATGCCATTTAAGCTACGGATTAGAAAACTGATTGTTATGTACTTATGAAGTGCAAGCATCATAACTTAACTTTGAGCAAAAGTCAAAACAGGACCACATACCTCCTTTTATTTTGGAGCATTTAGCCCCTTTTAATAAAATGCAATATTTCTTTCGTTTCTTATATCCATTATTCCAAACTGTTTCACAAATATTAATTAACCCTTAAAATGCCCCTATAAGGTAGGTCTGGCAAGTATTATCACAATTTTACAGATGGGGAAACTGAGACACTGATGTTTTATCACAAGTCGTGGAGTAAATCAACATCAGAATAGTAATAAATCGCCAGAACCAGATGGTATTCACCCAAGAGTACTGATGGAACTCAAATGTGAAATTGCAGAAATACTGACTGTAGTCTGTAACCTATCATTTAAATCAGCTTCTGTACCAGATGACTGGAGGATAGCTAATGTGACGCCAATTTTTTAAAAGGGCTCCAGAGGTGATCCCGGCAAGTACAGGCCAGTAAGCCTGACTTCAGTACCAGGCAAACGGGTTGAAACTATAGTAAAGAACAAAACTGTCAGACATATAGATAAACATATTTTTTTGAGGAAGAGTCAACATGGTTTTTGTAAAGGGAAATCATGCCTCACCAATCTACTAGAATTCTTTGGGGGGCGGGTGTCAACAAGCGGGATCCAGTGCATATAGTGGACTTAGATTTTCAGAAAGCCTTTGACAAGGTCCCTCACCAAAGGCACTTAAGCAAAGTAAGCTGTCATGGCTAAGAGGGAAGGCCCTCTCATGGACTGGTAACTAGTTACAAGATAAGAAACAAAGAGTAAGAATAAATGGTCAGTTTTCAGAATGGAGAAAGATAAATAGTGGTGTCCCCCAGGGGTCTGTATTGGGACCAGTCCTATTCAAAATATTCATAAATGATCTTGAAAAAGGGGTAAACAGTGAGGTGGCAAAATTTGCAGATAATACAAAACTACCCAAGATAGTTAAGTCCCAGGCAGACTGCAAAGAGCTACAAAAGAATCTCTCAAAACTGGGCAACTGGGTAACAAAATGGCAGATGAAATTCCATGTTGATAAATGCAAAGTAATGCACACTGGAAAACATAATCCCAACTATACATATAAATTGATGGGGTCTAAATTAGCTGTTACCACTCAAGAAAGAGATCTTGGAGTCACTGTGGATAGTTCTCTAAAAACATCCACTCAATGTGCAGCGGCAGTAAAAAAAAACAAACAGAATGTTGGGAATCATTAAGAAAGGGATAGATAATAAGACAGAAAATATCATACTGCTTTTGTATAAATCAGGGGTCGGCAACGTTGGCAAGCGGCTCACCAGGGTAAGCACCCTGGCGGGCCGGGCCAGTTTTATTTACCTGCTGACGCGGCAGGTTCGGCCGATCGCGGCCCCCACTGGCCGCGGTTCGCTGTCCCGGGCCAATGGGGGCAGCGAGAAGCCACGGCCAGCACATCGCTCGCCCGCACCGCTTCTCAACGCTCGTATTTCTAGTAGGGATAAGGAGGTGCTGGTTCCGTTATACAAGGCACTGGTGAGACTTCATTTGGAGTACTGTGTGCAGTTCTGATCTCCCATGTTTAAAAAGGATGAATACAAACTGGAACGGGAACAGAGAAGGGCCACTAGGATGATCCGAGGAATGGAAAACCTGTCGTATGAAAGGAGACTCGAGGAGCTCGATTTGTTTACCTTAACCAAAAGAAGGCTGAGGGGGGATATGATCGCTCTCCTTAAATATATCAGAGGGATAAATGCCAGGGAGGGAGAGGAATTATTGCAGCTCAGTACTAATGTGGACACGAGAACAAATGGATATAAACTGGCCATCGGGAAGTTTAGGCTTGAAATTAGACAAAGGTTTCTAACCATCAGAGGGGTGAAGTTCTGGAACAGCCTTCCGAGGGAAACAGTGGGGGCGAAAGACCTCTCTGGCTTTAAGATTAAGCTTGATAAGTTTATGGAGGGGATGGTTTGATGGGATTACGTGATTTTAGTCAATAGATCAATAACGTGCCATGGCTGGTAATTAGTAACAATGGTCAATGATGGGATATTAAAAGTTACTACAGAGAACTTTTTTCCGGAGGGTCTGGCTGGAGAATCTTGCTCGCATGCTCAGAGTTCAGCTGATAGCCATATTTGGGGTTGGGAAGGAATTTTCCTCCAGGGTAGATTGGCAGAGGCCCTGGAGGTTTTTCGCCTTCCTCTGCAGCATGGAGCAGTGGTCGCTTGCTAGAGGATTCTCTGCGACTTGAAGTCTTTAAATCATGATTTGGGGACATCAACAGCTGAGTCAAGGGAGAGAATTATTCCAGGAGTGGGTGGGTCAGCTTTTGTGGCCTGCATCATGCGGGAGGTCAGACTAGATGATCATAATGGTCCCTTCTGACCTTAAAGTCTATGAGTCTATGAGCCGCGTGCCAACGTTGCCGACCCCTGGTATAAATCCATGTTAGGCCCACATCTTGAATACTGTGTACAGATGTGGTCACCCCATCTCAAAAAAGATATGTTGGAATGGGAAAAGGTTCAGAAAAGGGCAACAAAAATTATTAGGGGTATGGAACAGCTTTCATAAATGGAGAGATTAAGACTGGGACTTTTCAGCTTGGAAAAGAGATGGCTAAGGAGAGATATGATTGAGGTCTATAAAATCATGACTGATGTGGAGAAAGTAAATAAGGAAGTGTTATTTACTCCTTCTCATAACACAAGAACTAGGGGTCACCAAAGGAAATTAATAGGCAGCAGGTTTAAAACAAACAAAAGGAAGTATTTCCTCACACAACGCACAGTCAACCTATGGAACTCCTGCCAGAGGATGTTGTGAAGGCCAAGACTATAACAGGGTTCAAAAAATAACTAGATAAATTCATGGAGGATAGGTCCATCAATGACTATTAGTCAGGATGGGCAATAATGGTGTCCCTAGCCTCTGTTTGCCAGAAGCTGGGAATGGGCAACAGGGGATGGATCACTTGATGATTACCTGTTCTGTTCATTCCCTCTGGAGCACCTGGCATTGGCCACTGTCAGAAGACAGGAAACTGGGCTAGATGGACCTCTCATCTAACCCAGTATGGCCGTTCTTATGTTCTTGGATAAGAATCCAAGTTCCCAAGTCTCATTCCCACACTCCAACCTAGGGATAGAAAAATCTTTCAGATGTCTACTAGACCAGGAGCTAAAGGCTTAATTACCAGAGGCAAATACATCAGATAGGGAAGCCCAAGAGTAAAATCCTGGGGAAATGCCCAGATGAGAAGTCCAGCGCCCCTGCTCCCCCTAGCTACTGAGATTCCTACCTGCACAAAGGCTAAGATTATTGGAACAGCTCAGCCTCTGGCTAGCTGTGTCTGATAAATCTGAAGCCCCACACCCTTCACTGGCTGAAAGGGGGAAAAGAATTTTCCTTTTTTTTTCTCATTCTCCTGCCAGAAGCTATTGACTTTTAATAAGTTTGAGAGGGTGTGTCGACGCTGCTCTATTCCTCCTCGAGCCTGCTGGTTGTTGTGAGTAGAGAGTTGTGAATGACTTCACGAAACTCACTATTAAATCTAACCCTAATCAGGTCCTCTTTCATTCACTTGTCCAAGAACATTTAGGTCACACGTTTTTGTTCATGTGAACATTTGGGAAGAGTTATTATTCATCTGAATACAGCTATTCATAAGTGAGTTTGCATATTTGCACTGGAAGTGCTGGCCCTCCTGCTCATGTACCCAATATGTACTATTGTGTATGTTCGGAAGCAAGAATGTTAGGAGGCGGGTAGGAAACAAGAGAGAAAGAATGCTATTTTGTCACTGAGCATAAGTACAATAAGGAGAGAGTAGAGGGAGCAGGGGATGGGATACTCCTGAAAGATCCCTTGTCTGCAGCCATTTGACACCTGTGGCAGCTTCAGAACATCTAGCAAGGTATCTGTGGTGTTGGCAGATACTAACACAAGGATGGAGGGGTCAATGTCCAGGAACAATTGTTCCTCTCCATGCTGCATGGCCCACATATATTTATTGAAATGTATTGAAACAACTATAAGCAATCAGAGTGCTCCTGGTAAACTGAGTAGTCTGGCTTTATAATTACTATTACAAGTATCCATCCACATTTAAACAATAATGAACATCCTCACCTATCAACCTAACCCCATGAAAAAGATGTACTTTGCAGTGAATCTGTGCTGTAGTGAACCAAGCTGACGGGGAAGCAAAATTCCAATAAGGGGAATCTACTCAGACCCCAGTAGAAGATTCCTCCTGTTTAAATAGAGGGTGCTCCAGTTCAAGCACATCTGCTGTTTCCACCTTAGGCTGTTTCATTCTTAAGCCATCTAGCGGTTTAAAGGTCAAAACAGACAATTTCAGTTCCACCCAGGAGCTCACAGTTGCATTCTATACAGGTTCTTATACTATGCTCATCACTGTAATATCGTAGTGCCTTCCAGCAG